TTTCCAGTACTTTTCAAAGATGAGGGAGAGTGGCTTAGCAATGACATCTGCCAGCTCCCTCAGCACTGGTGGGTGCTTCCCACTGGGGCCCATGGATTTGTGGGTGTCCAGTTTGCTTAAATGATCTCTAACCTGATCCTCCTCAACCAAGGGAAGGTCTTCCTTTCTCGAGGCTTTCTCTCTTAGATCTGGGGACAGGGATCCCTGAGGGCCAGCCTTAGCAGTAAAGACTGAAGCAAAGGCAGCATTCAGTAACTCGGCCATCTCTGTATCCTCCGTCACCAAGGCACCCACCTCATTCAGCAGCGGGCACACATTTTGCTAGTCATCCGTTTGCTACTGATGTACTTGAAGAAGCCCAGCTTGTTGTCTTGGACATCCCTTGCCAGCTTTAATTCCAGGTGGACCTTAGCCTTCCTCATTGCTTCCCTGCATGCTCTGACAACGTTCCTGTATTCCTCCCAAGTGGCCTGTCCCTCTTTCCACATTCCATAGATGTTTCTCTTCCATTTGAGTTTTGCTCAAAGCTCCTTGCTTATCCACGCAGGTCTCCTGCCTCCTTTGCTTCATTTCTTACGCATGGGGATGGACAGATCTTGGGCATGGAGGAAGTGATGCGTGAATAGTGACCAGCTCTCTTGGAGCCCACTACCTTCTAGAGCCCTAACCCATGGGATTCCTCCAAGTAGGTATCCTTGAAGGGGCCAAAGTCAGCTCTCCTGAAGTCTAAGGTTGTGATCCTACTTACTTATTGCCCAGCTTCCTCCACGCAGGATCCTGAACTCCACCATCTCATGGTCACTGCAGCCAAGGCTGCCCCCAGCCTTCACATCCTCGACCAGTCCTTCTTCGTTTGCAGCAGCAGGTTGAGCAGCACACCTCCCCTTGTTATCTCCTCCACCCCCTGTGTCAACAAGATATCATCAATGCTCTGCAGGAACCTCCTGGACTGTGTGTGCCTTGTGTTCCAGCAGGTATCAGGGTGGTTGAAGTCCCCCATGAGAACCAGGGCCTGTGATCGTGCGGCTACTTTAAGCTGTCTGTAGGAGGCCTCAGTGACTTCCTCTTCCTGGTTCAGGTGGCCTGTAGTAAACACCCACAACAGTGTCACCCATATTCGCCAGTCCCTTAATTCTCAGCCATAAGCTCTCAGCTCGTTCTTCATGCACCCTAGGCAGAGCTCAATAAATTCCAGTTGCTCTCTCACATAAAGAATGACTCCACACCCTGCCTTGCTGGCCTCTCGTTCCTAAAAAGTATGTAGCCATCTATGACAGCATTCCAGCATGTGAGCTGTCCCACCATGTCTCTGAAATGCTACAGCTGGAACTGTTATCCACCCACTTGCTAACAGCTGCCCCTCTCCCTGGTGCGATGCTTGCCCTCGCACCAGCCTTGGAGGTGCTAAGGCCTAAGGACTGGCCACTGCCACCGTACAGGGAGGAACCACCGCCCACCTCACCGGTGCGTGGGCATGCACCAGGCACCTCAGTGGGACGTGGGCACCCACCGGGAACCTCACAGAAACGTGTGCACCCATGGGGCACCTCAAGGGCCACGCATGCCTGTCCTCTCCTGCCTCAGGTCCCAGCCCGCATGGACAGCAGCCCCCGCTTGAGCCTCTGCCTCTCACGGCACACGCTCTGGCTGGAGCTGCACAGGGGGCTAGAGAAGGCTCTCCTCTTCTTACCTTTTCCTCACGCCACCTTCTCCTCAGAGCACGGGTGTTGGAGCTCTTTCAGGCGGAGGCGGTAGAGACGTCTCTGGCACCTGGCCAACAGGGCCATGTTGGCCTCCAGCCAGCAGAGCAGTTCGTATGTGGAGAC